TTGCAAGGTTACTTCTCACCTCGTTTTGTGATCCTCGGTATCCCAGTCACAAAACTTGGAGGGCACACTCGAGATTAAAACATGCCTTTGAAAAGTTCATTGAATCTCAAAAGAATAGAGGAATTTCTAAGAACCAATTAAAACCTAATATTTATATTTCGTTTTTCGTGGTGGAAATTGGTGAATTGTCATTCACCTACCTTTCAAATATGTTATAGCTTAGATTATGGCATACCTCTTCTAATTTATGATATATTATGATTGGATCCTAGCCTTAATATTACATTTGGGTGTTTTATTAAGGACTATCTTTATATTTAAACTAAACTTGTTCTCCTCTTTTCATATGTCTTCCAACAACACTCCTTCTGGCTCAAACCCTACTGGCTCCTTTTCCTTCATGAACCTATGAGGGAGAGTCATATTCGGTGGTTCCAACTTTATGGATTGAATCTGGAACATCAGGATGGTGACTCGCTACGAGGAAAAGAAATATGTCATCGATAAGGACCTAAAGGAGAACGATGAGTCCACTGCTACTCCCCAGGAGATTGCTAACTATCGGACTCAAGAGATGCCACCAAAGTGGCATGTATCATGATGGCCACCATGACAACTGAACTCCAGAAGTCCAATGAGGACTACTACCCTTTTGAGATGTACCAAGATATGATGGACAGATACCACAAGAGTGCTCGTCAAGAGTGGTATGAAATAATCTCCTCGATGATAACAACCATGATGAAGGATGGAGAATCCATCACGGCCCACATGCAGAAAATTCAAAGGTATGTGGACCATTTGTTGAAGCTTAATGTGAACTTCCCCGAGGAGCTAGCAATAGATATTATTTTTCACTCCTTACCCTCATGTAATGATCAATTCCACATGACATACCACATGAATACGGAAGAGGTCACACTCAGCAAGCTTCAAGGACTCCGAAAGACCGTAGAAACATGTCTTAAAGGTAAGTCTATTGTTACGACTCCTACTCCTACTCCAAACTCTGCCCATGTCCTGGCAATCAGGAAAAGTAGAAGAAGAACCCTTTGAAGTACCAAGGGTAAAACCATTGATGGCTCTTCTTCAAGTGGAACCAACAGAGGTTTTGCTACTCCTTCTTCTGGACCAAAAGAGGCTGAATGCTTCTATTGCCATGAAAAGTTGCATTGGAAGCAGAACTGCCCAAAGTATCAGCAAGATGTGAAGGATGGGAAAGTCAAACCCAACCATGCAGGTAGTTACACTATTCTATCTAATAACGCACCTTACTCTAACTCTTGGGTCCTTGATACCAGTTGTGGTATTCATATCTGTACTGATTTGCGGGGACTAAGAAGAAGTGAGAATGTGGAGCATGGAAAGATAAACTTGATCATGTGGAATAGGAAAGCTTCACCTATCACCAAGATTGGAGTTTATTATTTGTTGCTAAGTAGTGAGTTTACTTTAGATTTGAATAAATGTTGTTATTCGCCAGAAATGGCAAGAAATATTATTTCCTTTCATGCTTTGTACAAACAAGGGTTTATCTTTTCTTTTGATAATGAAATTGGTAAAATAAATGATTTCTTTATTAATGTTGTTTATTTTAATGCATTACCTTGTGATGATGTGTATGAATTTGTATCTGTTGTAGATAACCTAGGAAATAATATGGTGTGTATTGATTCTTCTAGTAATAATAACTTGGAAAAAGCATCATTATGCCATTGTCGTCTTGGACATGTGAGCAGGAAACGCATAGGCCAACTCCAAAAGGATGGAGTCTTGGAGTCATTTGACCTAAAGTCAGATGATAGTTGTGAATCATGCTTACTTGGAAAAATGACAAAGTCACCCTTCACTGATTCTTGTGCTAGGTGTAAAGGTTTGTTGGATCTGGTACACACAGATGTGTGTCGACCCTTCAAATCCGCCACAAGGGATGCCAATCATTTTATTTGACTTTCACTGATGATTATAGTAGATATGGATATGTTTATTTAATCAAGCATAATTCAGAGACTTTTTAAAGGTTTAAAGAGTTTAAATAGGAACTCGAGAATCAATTGGGCAGGAACATTAAGATGATTCAATCCGATCGTGGTGGTGAGTATCTTAGTACAGAGTTCCTCGACTATCTTAAGGAATGTGGGATTATCTCACCATTAACACCTCCCAGGACACCACAGCTTAATGGTGTGGCTGAGAGGCTCAATCGAACCTTGTTGGATATGGTTCGTTCCATGATGAGTCGATCTTTGCTACCAATCTCATTTTAGGGCTATGCCTTAGAGACTGCTGCCCATATCCTTAATCTGGTTCCTACAAAGAAAGTCGCCAAAAGTCCTCATGAGATGTGGACTGGTAAAGTTCCCAAACTAGATCACATCAAGATTTGGGTTTGCGAGGCGTTCGTGAGATGCGAGACTCATGATAAGCTCAAACCTCGACGTGAGAGGTGTATTTTCATTGTCTACCCACAGAAATCCTTTGGCTACCTCTTTTACAGACCTAGTGAGAATGTGCTCTTTGTAGCAAGGAGGGGTGTCTTGAGAGAGAGAGTGAGAGAGAGAGAGAGAGATCATAAGCCAATGAAACAGTGGGAAGCAAATTGACCTTGAAGAAATTAAAGAGTCGAGTGGTGAAAGAACTTCAAATCCTAGCACTCAACCTGAGGAGGAAACTCCTATTGAGCCAACTGACGAGTCTATACCTCTGAGGCATTCCACAAGGGTTAGGAATGCACCTGAGCACTACTATGGTTTCCATATTACTACGGAAGGTGAGCACTTATCAGTGATGAGACATTGGTAAGTCTGGATGAACCTAACAGCTACGCGGAAGACATGGCAGGCCCCGAGTCTGCTAAATGGAATGAGGTAATGGACAGCGAGATACAGTCCATGTTTGACAATCAAGTTTGGAACTTGGTTGACAATATACCAGGTCGTAAGATAGTTGGGTGCAAGTGGATCTTCAAGAAGAAGACCTTCATGAATGGTAATGTATACACATATAAGACGTAATTGGTTACAAAGGGCTTTTCTCAAACTCCAGGAGTTGATTATGATGAGACCTTTTCACCAGTTGCAAAGATTAAGTCTATTAGGGTCCTGTTAGCCATCACTGCATTTCATGATTATAAAATATGGCAAATGTATGTCAAAACCACCTTCCTTAATGGAAGTTTGGCTGAGGATGTTTACATGAGTCATCCAGAGGGTTTTGTTAGTATAGAATACCCTAATAGAATGTGTAAGCTCAAGAAATCCATTTATGGATTGAAACAGGCACCTCGCAGATGGAATCTTTGCTTCGATGAGAAAGTCAAAGAGTTTGGCTTTTCGAGGAGTGAAGATGAATCTTGTGTCTATGTCAAGGCTAGTGGGTGTATAGTTAGATTTTTGGTACTGTATGTGGACGATATACTACTCATAGGAAATGACATCCCAACCTTGCAGGAAGTAAAGTCCTGGCTTGGGAAGTGTTTCTCTATGAAAGACCTAGGAGAAGCTGCCTATATTCTAGGGATAAGGATTCTGAGAGACCGGAATAAAAGACTAATTGGACTTAGTCAGAGTACCTACTTGGATAAGGTGCTGAAGAGGTTCAGCATGCAGGATTCCAAGAAAGGAGAGTTACCCATCCAGAGTAATGCCAAACTGAGATAAACTCGGAGAGCGAGTACTGAGGTTAAGATAGCATAAATGATTTGAGTACCTTGTTCTTCTACATTAGGTTCGATCCGGTATGATATGACATGTACGCGTCATCATGTAGCCTTTGCTTTGAGCATGGTTAGCAGATATCAAGGGAACCCTGGCAAGGCTCACTGGACCGTGGTAAAGAGTATCCTCAAGTAACTATGGAGGACTAAGGATTGGGTCCTTATCCTTGGTGGGAGTGATGACTTGAGAGTTGTAGGGTATAGTGATGCTAGCTTTCAGACTGATACGGATAATTTCCTCTCTCAGTCAGGCTGGGTCTTTACCTTAAACGGAGGAGCAATTACTTGGAAGAGTTCCAAGCAAGAGACCGTGGCTGATTCAACTTGTGAATTAGAGTATATAGCAGCAAGCGAGGGCAGCAAAGGAGGCGATATGGCTGAAGAACTTCATTGGAGACCTTGGAGTTGTACCAACTATAAAGGATCCAATGGAAATTTTCTGTGATAGTGAAAGTGCAGTTGCCTTAGCCAAGGAACCAAGGGATCATGGGAGATCCAGACACATCAACAAAAAATACCATTTCATCAGACATCGAATATAAGAAGGACTCCTCGTAGCAAAGAGGGTATCATCGGATGAGAATCTAGCAGATCCCCTCACGAAGGGACTGACTCGGGTTAAACATCTCCAACATGCTCGGAGCATAGGGCTGAAGGATGATATTAGATTTAGTAGTTAGATAACCTCGAAATTTGTAAAGTGTAATTGACATTAGATGATGAATAAAATGTGTTTTATTTATGAGTAAGTGTTGCTATCTCTTGTCGATCGTTTACTGTATTTCTTTTGCATGTTTTGACTTCCAAAATAATTATGTTTGGTATATCATATTATTCGAACCTCCACAGTCGGTCATATGTCGGAAGTAGGTATGAATCAACACCACTAGAAAAACAGCCTTTTACGACGCTCATTGCGCGTCGTAAAAGGCTCAGACGACGCGCAAATGCGTGTCAAGGAAGGTCCTGTCATAAAGAGAGACGACGCGCATTTACGACGCACAATTACGTCGCGCATTTACGACACGCAATGCGTATCAAGGAAGGCCCTGTCATAAAGGAAGACGACACGCATTTGCGTGTCATAACCTTACGACGCGCGTGTTAATGACACGCAATGCGTATCAAGAAAGCCCCTGTCAAGAAAGGCCATGTCATAAATGAAGATGACACACATTTTTGCGTATCATAACTTTAAATGTTTTAAAAATATATATATTATTTTATTGATTTACTAATTTTCAAATTAAATAATACATTAAAAATCTCATAATACAAAATAAAATACCATAAATAACAAAGATAATTCATTTCACTAATATGTCAAATAAAAATAATTATTCCAATATTGAGTAATTGTAATAAAAGAAATGAACTCAAGAGAAGTAGAATTTATATACAATTGCATTATCTAGCTTCCTATGTGCCAATTAACAACTCTCTGTGTGTTTGCTTTTGCTTGAGTCTTGTTTCCTCCAAAGCTTCTAGCCATGCCAAAGTATGAGTCTTGCTTTTGCTTGAGTCTTGTTCATGTCCAAATCAAGTAAAACATTGCTAGCATATATTCATCAAGTCCTTTCCGTGAAGTCTTAGATAGATGCTTAACTGCAATATCCAATCCTTCTAGCAGGCCATAGAGATCAACCTGCCAAAAGAGTACACCAAATTAATCAGAGGCTGAGATGCTACCTATAGGACAATCCAAAAACACAGTAAATCCATGGACTTACTGTAGATCAATAATTACATACACCAAAGTAATGAAAACAGATGTTTGTTGGCCACACAACACACATAAAAAATGTAGCAGAAATGACACATACCTTCCTGGAACTGAATTGAAGTCACCACATACTAACATTGGAATATCTGCACTTGCAACTATCTTTTCCAATCCTTTTAACAATGTGTGGACCTTCAATTTTCACATTTATATAGTGTATAAGTTATTAAACAAGAAGAAAAAGTGTATATATACAAACAACAAGAGATACTTATCTTCTTTGTTGTCATTTCTCTTCGACAAAATCTACACTAAAAGAAATGTGCCCATGTATGTTAATGTATAAATTCCTATGAGGGCAAAATGGTCATAATAATTCGGAACAATCCGAAAGAGTATTTTTGTCCGAGTGGAAAGTGAATCTTGATTTTATACATACATACATATATATATATATAACATATATATATATATATATATATATATATATATACACACACACACACACACAACACAACACAATATCAATGTATGTCAGTGTGTGTGCTAATAACCGAGAAGCTAAAGAGCTTCCTAACATGGAAGATAACAAGAAAGTAGCAAAAATGAAACCATGTGGAATGTCTTCACCATTTGGGATTAAAGCAGGTGTCTGTAGAAACACAAAAGTGTACATTGAACCCTCGAATAAAGATTGTATTGCACCCAATAATGCTATATTTTCATCTGTTTACAAAAGAAAAAAAAAAAAAAAAAAAAAAAAAAAAAAAAAAAAAAAAAAAACTATTAGGTCCAAATTTAGAAGGTAGAATGATATGTATGCATAATTACAAGACTGCCACTTTGGATTCTTCATGCTTCTCTTGTATATGTATGAGAGAGAGAGAGAGAGAGACCTGATGCAACTGCAACAGCAGCACCCCTGAATTGGGTCATTAGATCTTTACTTTCTGATGAGTCACCATAATTTTCAGTCCATGATGATATGATGATGGCCATTCCAATGGCAAGAAAGATTGAAGCTGCATCAAATGGAGCAACAGGTCCCATGGACAATGAACCAACTAAAAGATTTCCAAATAAACCAGCTAAAATGGCAACCCGTCCATTCCCAAGAAATATTGCCTTGGACAATGTAATTGATAGCCATTGTTGCTCAAAACCTCTCTACAGATGCATCAAAACAAGAGCATTAGAACCATACACAATATAAAGGGTGTATTTAGAAATGTAATATTATATCTCACCTTGTTGTGTTCAGCAACAAGCCATGATTCGAAGGCTAAAAAGAGGAGAGAGGTGGCAATCCCTCCCAATATATGCCCCACCATTAGAATTTTACCTCAAATTTAGCTCATCTTTCCTCATCTTTAAGTTTAGCTCAGAACCTATATGTCGCAAGACACGAGTCCTAATTTTTATACCAAATTAATTCCAAATCAAATAAATTAATTTGATCAGAATGTTAAAGAAGTACAAAAAATGAAGCTGAAATTAATCATGCGCTTACAAGTACTAAAATCCATGCAATTCCAACTTTTGACAAAAAAATACCTAAAATACCCTTTCCTGTTTTGGCCTTCCTTACATGTGTGAACTTTAATGGAATGGGGGTTAAGCACAACATGAACTTCTACTGAATCTAGTGTTATGTATTTTATTTGGCATGTTACTTTCTTAATTGGATGATGCCAATTAAAGAAATATATACCTGATGAAAGTTAAGGTTGGATTGTTGATCAAGAAAATTGTGGTTTTGGTTTTGGTTTTAATTGAATGATGAGGCCTCCAAACCGATCTCCAAGCCCCCTATCAGCCGAAGTGTATAAACTTGACACACTTCTTTCCTGACTTGAAAGAATCATCATTTTACAATAGGAACAACCAGTTTGAACTTGAGAAGAAAAGTTAATCAAACAAGAAAGTCTTGATGAGTTACCTGAGGATAATATGTTTTTCCACTATCATCAGTCATGTTATTTACCCTAAAGGTATAATATATTTAACATGCACTCAGAACTAAAAAATAAAAAAATAAAAATAAAAATAAAAAGCAAACTTACATAAATAGTATGTGTTTTTTATACAGGTTTCAGGAGCAGGGTTAAGTACATTAGCATTTTAGATCCAACAAATATGTGTTACTACATTTCAGAGATCCAGGATGGAGGACATGATAGACCTCTGTTTATGGTATTTTTGAAATCATTTATCATTCTAATTACACGCTTCATTTTACTATCTATACAATTTTATATTAAGTTTTTTGATGGAGGTTTCGTTGGAGGATTGTGAGAATGAATTTTTTATTCTTTTATCAGCTGTAAGATGCATAAATGAGCAGGGCCATGACCTCACCAACTTTCTTCATTAACTCATTCGTAGATTCAATCAAATAAAGCACTTCATAATTGTCCATCTCAAGCAACATATATGTTACACTTGTAGCATTCTAGTGCTCAATTTGCTCCACCAAAGGGTACAAGTATGTCCTAAGGAACTGCAATTTTGAGAAATCCAAGAACCATAAATACTTCACAAAGTAATCTATATTACTTGACAAATTAATCATGTGATAAGGAATAATACCTGATGTTGGTTTTCTAGACTAGTAGAAGCCAAAATACAAGCAAGTTTTCTAGTATCGATTGTTCCAGAAAGATGAACATCAGAGTGAATTACCATTTTACCCTTGCATCTATAAATAATGCTTAATAGCAAATTACTATTTATCTGAGAACTGTTATGACTTAAAATTGTAAACGACAAATCATAAAAATTGGAATATACTTAAAAAAAACAATTGCTATAAATAATGATACAAATGCAATCATAGTTGGTCAAGATATCATTAAGTAACTTGAATAAAAAAGAAACAAGTACTAAGTCCTATATGCGTCTGAAAGGACTAAGTCATTTCAAGATTTGATAAGAAATTAAAAAATTATGAGAAAACTGGTAAACTTCAAACTTAGAATGTGAAAGGGAAACGGAAACAACCCAGCCACATTAATTTGCAACAATCCACAAGTCATATATGGATTGAAAAAGTACCAAAAGGGACGGAGTACAAAATGGAAAAATCATAAACAGATTACCGAAAGGGAGAAACAAACAAGTTAATTGCTTGAAAATTTGTACCTCGTGAGATTCAAGGGCTGAAATCAAGGTTTTAAAAATGTAGTTCGTTGTTGGAGGGTCTAAGGTTTTATTATCATGTGGCTTTTTGAGCTTCAACTTACTCTTTTTAACAACCATTTCCACCTGCATACACAAACACAAACAGAAACATATCCAGTTATGCTGAAAGATTTTTCAAATTGTTGATTAATTTTTTTTCATACAAACCCAACGCCACCTGTCCATCCCTCCGGTGGCTTCACAAATACAAAAGAACTATGTGGGTAGTTTAGTCTTTTCAGAAACAAGCCTGACTAAAAGAAGGCTGTGGTTTGCTTCAACAAAAATTTGAAAGTGTCCATGTGGCATTTCGCAACATGGATAACTTAGCATGCTCGTTTAATTGGGATATTATAGGAATCAAAGCACCTAGTGCAAGTACAAGGTCACGACATTTAGGGGAATCACCAGCAACATTTCCTAAAGCCCATACAGCCTAACATGTAGATAAAGTGAAATTGAAGTCATGATAATGAATTTGTGAATTGAGTTTATGAAATACAAAAACCTCTAAAAGATACCTGTTCTCTAACATCATCACTTGGAGATGCAAGAAGCTTCACAAATATTGGAACAACACCATGATCAATCACCACTTTTGTGTGTTCAGATGTCCCCGAAGCAATATTATTCAAAGCCCAAATCATAACGATCCTCTGTAAAAAAGTTAGAAATAGATATAGTAGATATATAATTGAAACCCTCCCCGACTAGAAAAATTACCTTTCCATGCCCTAAAATGATTGAAAATGATAGTGGAGCGAGTACTCTACGACTACATTCATAATCATCACGGAAGATTGAGGTATCCATAAAATATGAAACGGAAAAATAATTTTTTACAGAACACTCGCCAATCAGATGACGAATCTAACAAACATAGGATGGAGAAGTGTGGTGAACCAGAGAAAAGACGAAGGGTGGTGGGTGCCTGGGTGGTTGTCGAGCAATATGGGGTAGAGAGAGAGAGAGAGAGAGAGTGAGAGAGAGAGAGAGAGACTTGTAGATTAAGACCATGTCGGATGAGGCATTTTATCAAACATGTTGCGTGCATCATCGATTCTTCCCCATTTACTGTATAAGTCGATTTCTCGATTTCTATTTCTCTTTCTCCCATTCCAATCTCCGACTTTCTGTTGCTGTGATAGAGTTCCGTCGCTGGGATTTGATTAGTGCCACCACTCCTCCGAAGGCTCTGAGTTTTCTCAGTCTAGGTCACTAGACCTAATGTTGCTGGCAAGGGCAGGCGAGGTGAGATTGCTGGAGATGAGGGGGCTCCATCGGCTGGGTGATGCTGGAAAGCGTTGGACGGTGGGGCGGGGCTAGATGGAGGTCAGAGGTGGGAGGCGCCAACACCAAGAGAAACGTCGAAGGTGAGAGAAGTTGTCGACATTGAGAACCGAGAAGAAGAGAAAGGGTTTGTCGAAGTGAGAAGGAGAGAAAGGGAAGTTGAAGAGAGAATGAGCAGTACACGAGGGCATAATCGGGGGAAGTTCTTGAAAAAAAGCCCTAACTACTAGGGAAATTAAAGTGGAGGGAGAAAAAAAAGGAAGGCGGGATTTTAAGTTTTTGGGATTTCATTTTCCCCGGATGGAACGCGCGCGTTCTATTAAAATTTATAAAGCGACGGTCGTAGACGACACGCAGGTGCCCTCCGTGTTTTTATTTTTTTTGTTTAGACACTAATTTTAGGGCACGCAAAAATGCGCGTCTGAATTCCTTTAAATTTTGGAAGAGATAACATTATTTTTTAGACACTCACCTTTGCGTATCATAAATAACTGCGTGTCATGGTTCGCGCATCGTAAAAGGCTATTTTTCTAGTAATGCAAGACTGTCATGATTGGTTGCAGAGGTCTAAGTTGTTGGATGTGGCTACAACAATCATGAGTGCTCATAAGTTTTGAGCATTGGACTCAACCCACGCTCACTGGAATCACTTCATGGAATTTATCTTGAGTGATCGTGAGACGGTAATATCATATAAGTCTTCAAACCTAGAGATATGATTTGTTACTTATGAGTTGGTTATGCATTGATTGTACGAAAACGAATTGGTAACTCGATGTTATAAAACGTGCTTTTGTGTATAATTCAATGAGTAATAGAAAAAACATATGAGTTAAAGTTTATCTATTCCTTCTTGGATTAGAAGCTGATATCTGGGCCCCTCGATGATTTTTTTTGACTTATGTACCGGGCCCGGTCAGAACTAAGTTGATGTGTTCAATGAAGTTCTTTGTCAAACAAATTGGAAATCGGGAAACAAACTGTTGGACAATAAGTAAGACATTGTTCCATGTATTTGTCCGGTTGATATCAAGAACAGAGGATTATATGATCACTTATCTTAAATGGCGTATCATCATCTTCTCAGTTCCGAGAGACCTTGAAAGAGCTACGATTGCTGATCAGTTCCTGAAGTCATCCTTGCAGTTATAGTTATTAGACTTATCCAAGTGCGAGACTGTTGGATAAGGTGTCTAACTCCATAACTATTTCTGGTATGTACTTGACCTGACTCGACATGGTCCATTTGGGTTGCATGGCACCATGCATTTGGATAGACTAAATGAGAGAAATAATACTTGTGGTTTATTAATATATTATAAGTTCTAACATATTAATAGTATTATTTAATTAGTATTGATCAAGAATTAATTATGTGATAAAAAGATAACTAATTAAATATATGGGTTGATTATGTAAATAATCCATAACTTGTATAGTGGGCTAAAAGGCTCCATGGATTATCAAGTTGGATTAAACCCATTGGATGCTCCATGGGAGTTACAAACCCATGGGTCATGGAAATGAAGACTCATGACACATTAGGGTTTACATGGTGTAACCCTAGATGTATCAACACTATATAAGTAACAGTTGCTCCACCAAAATCGGCTACACAAATAGAAGTGACGGCTAGGCCGATTTTTAGAGTGTTTGTATTCTCTCAAAAATCATTCCAAAAGCATTTGGTGTTGTGTAAAGCATTTGAGGCATCACACTTAGGGTGCTAGGCTCTCAAGGTTTCAAGGAATCAAAATCAACTACAAGGTATGTATTTCTAGCTATCCTTTTAGGATTAAAGTTCCACATGTATGCTAGATAGTATTATGAACCTTGGAAACCAAATTTTGCATGTATTTAGACAAACATTGATCCAAGGTTATTAGGGTTGCATGTACACTTAGGAAGTGTTAGAATGCTCAAAACCCATAACAATTCTCCCCCACTTAATTTGATTTCGCCATCAAAATCACTCTTCATCCACACAAAGCTCGAACCTATAGCTCAGAAAGCACCACTGAAAAGGCCTCATATCCCCATCGATATCTTTTCTATGGACACTTGAATCCAAACAGGAATTCCCAAAAATATGGATGCTCTAATGGCCAGGCCCGCCGCCAGACCGCCCACTCAAGATATCACCATGTTATTCGCTCCTTGAATAACAAACCCTGATAACTCACTGCCCCTCTAATTCTCTCTCGACATAATACAACAATCGGCTACCAATCACTCATGCCAAACATAGTAACGATTCAAACCACCCCCCAAGAAATGGAAGGGTTCACATCCCACCAGGGCTCATCCACTGAACTACAATCGGAACCCATCTGAAAAATGCATCCCCAAAACTTTGCCCTAGGACACAAGATAATAATCATGCTTATTCAGAAGAGTCCTCAGTCTTCTAAAAATTGTAAGCCTCAGCCCCATTTCTCATATTCCGCTTTAACACTGAGTACCAAATTCGATCTCGACCCCACAGTTGAACCTCCAATATTATCCATTGCATTATCCCAACCATCCTAATGGTTTCCTTCTCGTAATAACTACATTGGCCTAATTTGACTTACAAGTCGCGAAGTTCGCCTTTCCCCAACGAATGCTACACTCCCAACTGAAGATCGACTCAACCCCGACATCTGTCGTCTACTGCTTATAATTCCATGCATCTCATGGTACCTCCTGTACCCAAGTACTGACCTACACAGGTCTAAGACATCAGCTGATAAACAATACCCCTCAATGTGCAACCCACCTTAGAATCCAGAATCTCATCTCGCCTACCCAACGCACCACCAGAGCCAAACTCAAACTCAAGAGTTTGGTCTGACCCAGAGTTGGAACCACTCGACCCAATGAAGCACTCAACTCATGACTCATGACCCGCAACCCGCACGTATACCACTTCTCCAATTCCCTTGGGTTGCAACAACCACAACTCAAATCAGAGTATATCGATTCCCGACAAATATAGAGACCCAGTCTCGCCCCTGGTTCGACCACTAGGCTCCCAAAACTCATATATTAGGGATACCCAAGCCTAAAACTCATCAACGTCTTACTCTGACCAGAGAGTACTCATCACAACATCCTCTCGATGGCTAGTGAGTACTACGGCTCCCTGCAGCATCACAACAACCTCTCTTTGACTAGTGAGTACTACGGCTCCTCGTAGCATCACAACAACCTCTCACTGATTAGTGATTACTATGGTTCCCCGCAGGATCACAACAACCTCTCACTGACTAGTGAGTACTACAGCTCCCTGCAGCATCACAACAACCTCTCACTGACTAGTGAGTACTACGGCTCCCCGTAGCATCACAACAACCTCTCACTGACTAGTTGGTGAATACTACGGCTTCCTGCAACATCACTACAACCTCTCACTGATTAGTGAGTATTATGGCTCCCCGCAGCATCATAACAACCTCTCACTGACTAGTGAGTACTACGGCTCCCTGCAGCATCACAATAACCTCTCACTGACTAGTGAGTATTACGGCTCCCTATAGTATCACCACACCCCTTTGCTAACTCATGGATGTTGCAGCTCCCTGCGGCCTTACAACACTTTCCCTTACCACCCATGGTCTCAACCTCAAGTCAACGCCACACACTGCATCCATTAACCCACGTTCCACGGCTCAACGTAAATAGGTGCACACATACACATCCAAAAGTAAGCGTCACTACACCTGATGGCAACCGACACGACAAACTCCTTTTCTCACTACAATCCTCATTCTTTAATAATTTCATTTAACATCAATTAGCCGAAGTGCTCCCACTGGAACCAGAGATACTTGCTACACCAGTTGCCAACTCTCAACTTAGAAACTCAGAATAATCTAGAAATAAGTCGTCATACCCGGATA